ATTGAACATTCCCAAAGTTGGTAAGTGCAGTTAAAACAGGAGCATTCTGAGGGTAGTGAGTCCACCCTACTGGAGCCAGCTGGTTTTCTTCATAGGTCTGCATGGAAGTGAGCACCTTTGTCGGGCCAGGGGCAGGCAGTGGTGAAGTGTTTGTCTATTCCCATGCACATGCATCTCATTCCCCACTCTGGTAAAAGGCCTATGTTCACTCAGCCCAAATGACTATGAAGCAGGCAGGCCCTCTTCCTGACATAGTGACAGGACAGAGCAGTCCTTTGGGTATAGCCTCAAACTCACCATCTTGCCTGATTTCTCTAAAGCCTCTGTGAGAAATACCAATAATGAAGGCATGCCTGCAGTGTAAGCCAGAGAGCCCGTTCATTCGGGTAGTCACAGATGTTGTCCCTGGATGAAAGAGATGGCCAGCAAAGTGCAGCTGGAGAATATTTTGTCTTACATCCCTCCCAGAATACAGACAATAATGATAGGCATTTATAATTTATTAAGGATTTAAAATGTACTTAATAATGTGACTTCCTCAATTTTCTCAACAACTCAAAGCAAGTGGAGTGTGTACATATGTGTCTTATTTTACAGGAGGAGACTGAGTCACAGAGTGGCTAAATAACTTGCCCAAGACAAGTGGCAGAGCTGAGATTTGAAATCAGGTTCTTAACCATTTGACATTATCCTCTCAGTTTTCACTGAAAAGCCACTATTAAACTTATTTTTCCTTATATATTTTACTTTTTCTTTTGGGGGGAAGGGCTTGGGAATTGAACCCAGGACCTTCACATTGAGCTGCATTCCCACCTTTTTTAAAATTTTTTATTTTGAAGCAGGGTCTCACTAAGTCACTAAGTTCCCCAGACTGGGCTCAAACTTGCAGTCCTTCTGCCTCAGCCTCCCAGAGTGCTGGGATTACAGATGTGTGCCACCATGCTGCGCTCAATTCACTTTAAAAGTAAACCATGTTATTGCATAGCATGTACTTTTATATATAAACAAGTTATTTTTGAAACAAAGAGAATAGGATATACATAAAAGAATAAGCATGAATACATGTTAATTTATAGACCAGCTGAACGAGTTAGAAATACAAGGATTTAGTTTTCACAGAACCATACAGATGAAAACTATCCAACAGAAATAATTTAAATAATATATATAAATTAAAAATTTCCAGAAGCTACATGAAAAAAGAGGCAAAATTAATTTTAGTAATATTTTATCTAACCCCTGAATACAAAATATTATTTTAACATGTAATCAATATTATAAAATTAGTAAATATGTCACACTATTTCTTTTCATGCTAGGTCTTGGTGCAGTATGAATTTTCTTCTGTTGCACATCTCATCACAGATGAGCTCAAAAGCTGTGTCAGACTAGATGAGACTACATCAAACAGGATACAGAGACAGACAAAGAAGTCAGAGAGCATGCAGTTTCAGCCCAACTCACTTGTTTTGCTTTTGGCAGTGAACCGAAGTGACACCATGGGAAGGTCACAACCACTACCTTGGATTTCAGATCAGAGTTCTTTCTACCATTCACACTTTCGGGGTGAATGGGATTTGCTTCCACAGAGGTGTGCCATCCCTTCTCTGGGACTCCCCACCAAGTACCATCTATCCTCTTCTGACGTGCACACTTGCTCCCAGGACTTCCTAGGCAGTGTCTAAAGGAGGCACTTCTCCCAGAGCTCTAGGAGAGGGTCCTCCCACATCTGCAGCCCCCTGCTCCATTTGGAGTTCAGGACAGGGCTTTATCTGACCTTCTGGTGACTATGTGAGGGGATGCTCAAGCTCTGCTAGCCAAGCTCATCCTGGTTTTGTTATTTGGCTATCCTGGTTATTTAAATCAGAATACTCACTGAGTAGATATCTGAAAAGGCCTAGAACCAAATCATATTTCTTTGTTGGGTTTATTATTATCTTCATCTATTTTCTCTATTTGCCTCATGCTGGTCAGGTATCAGAGTCATTAGGTCTCCACAAGGAACAACAGAGCAAACCAGTCTGGGGTGGGAGTGGGGTGAGGATAAATTAAAACCAAGACCAAATGTAGCAAAAGTCTTGCTTCTTTAAAATCTAACAGCCGCAGGCTGTGACTGACGACCTCAACTGATTTTAGCAACCTAGTAAGAACTGGATGAGAAATCTACAAGAGAAGATTATCAACACAAGCCTGAGAATCTTTCCTCCCTTTTCTGAGCAGGCTGCACAGAGGGAGGAGTCTGTCCAGCTCTTCCCTATAATTGCAGTGTGACCCAGCAGCTGAGGATTCTGCCCACCTAGGGCAGGGGTTCTGTGAAACCAATTCAAATGCATTAAGCTCCTACTGGGTGGTAATTCTGTTCTTCCAGGAATATGTCTTAGAAGGTTCTGGGCCCATTATCAACCCATATAGGAGAATGAAGATCATCAGTAGATTCGATTAGTGTTACCCAATTACTCTGATAGCTCAACAGTTTTTTTTCCAAACAGAGAACGTCCATCTCCTTTTCTTCTTTCAATTGTATGAATCTCTTTCCATCCTGCCAAAATTCCACTATAATTACAAATAATTATAAAATTATAAGTCGAATTGAAAATTATTTCTAGCATCAGTGTATGTTGAATTATCTGATACTAATAGAGCAGGAGGGACCTAGAATTAATTTTTTACAAAGATATACCATGCTGGGAAGGCAAACTGGGAGCCTGACTGTGGTTCAAAAGCTGGTATCAGCTGTGCTAACAAGCATGCTGGTAACCACCCATCACCCAGCACCCACTTCGCTTGTAGTCTAGTGACCACTCAGCTACACCATCAAGATGTGCTGATTTTCACCCAGAGTTAGTCATATACTTTGCCCTGCCAGGTGCTATTTAAGCAGGACTTAAAGAAAAATCCTTCCCAGCCTTGGGCAGTTTCCCTCCCAACCCCAATCTTCCCCCTACAAAACTGTCTCCCCTTGTCCTGTTACGGTAAACTCACTTGCTGTGTTACTAGAAAAACCACCCCCTTTGAAAAACATGGGGAATTTCTCCTTGTTCAATGCTCAGCCATCTTAGAAAGAGTCCACTGAGATGGTGTATACCCCTTGAATAAATCCTCCTGACTCCCATTTGGTCTCTCCTGTCTCTTGGAATTCTGCAACACTGTATTCATGCCTCTCTAGGTGGAGCTTCAAAGTGGAGGCAGGGACCACCTCTGATGCCCAGAGACCAAAGGAATGAGCCACTTCAGTTTCTCTCCCACTGTGTTTCAGCACATCTGCTACTCCCCTTCCTTAAATGATTGTAGTAGTTCTCTGATACTTCATACTTTTAAGCTATAAAGCAGGGTGTTTTATACTGCTTCACAACCACATGAAGTAAATTGCTTTTGAGTTATATATGATGTCTGATTTACTTTAGGGTTCCTCAGATTGTTGTCTTCAATAAAAGGAAGGCTTCCCAAGCTTTCTCCTTTGTACAGCATAAAGGAATACCTGTCTAGCAAAAGTAATGGATTTGGGAATCCTCTCTCCTCCTTCTATACCCCAATACATTCTCCTGTAATACTAAGAGGGTACAATTTCTCATTAATGCATATGTCAGATAAGAGGGAGGAGAGAAAGAAAGGAGAGAGAGGAAGGGAGAGAGGAAGAAGGAAGAGGAGGAGGAAGGAGAGGATAGAGGAGAGAATAAGAAAAAAAGAAAGGAACGCAGGAAGAGGGAAAGAGGGAGTGGAGAAAAGAAAACAACAGGAACAACCTACAATGTGGATAAGTGATCCTCAAATGCTTTCATAGCCTTTTAGTATTTTGTCTGTTTCTTCCTCAGTGTATGTTTTTAATCTCCAAATTTTCTAAAGAAATCAAAGCATCATTAGAAGCATAAGTACTAAGGGTGACATGGTGTGCTGGAGAGACATGCTGACAGAAGTAAGGGCTCCAGCCTGGCCTTAACTGCTGGCTACAGAACTTTGAGCAAAAATACAGTACTATTATCTGAGGGTCACATGAAATGATAAATGTGAAATCACTTTGAAATCTGCAAATAATAGCAACAAATTGTTATTTTATTATTTTTAACACCTCCTCTGTGTCAAGTACCATTTCAAATCCTTATACTACCCTGTAAGGTAGGTATAGTCTCACCCTCATTTACATGAGAAGATAGCGGTAAGGAGGGCTTCATAGCTTGCCCAAGATTTAAAAGGTCTAAGTGGGAGACCCATGATTCAAATCCTGACAGCTGAATTTCAGTGTTTTATGTTTTAAAGTTACGTAATCTCAGAATAAAATTGGGAAAACTTGACAACATGCTGTTCTAAACTCCTCTATGGAAAAAGTCTTTACTGAAAAGTAAACACAGTTGACAATGCCTGCAAAGCGGTGCAATTAAACAGCCAAGTCTCGCCTGGTGTTCTAGTGTACACCTATAATCCCAGCACTTGGGAGGCTGAGGCAGGAGGATCATCACAATTTCAGGGCTAGCCTGGGCTAAACAGTGAGTTCAAGGAAAGCCTGAACTCTAAACTACAGAGTGAGACCCTGTCTTAAAAAAACCACTAAAGTATAAAAAAAAGCCATCTGTTCATTAAGAGATGGTGGTCATTCTTACATGCATGTTGACAAGACACTTCTGAATGCCAATGTACTTAAGTGCAAAATTAATCTTTCAGATTTAATAAAAAGGGAAGGCATTAGCATTGTGGATAACCAGGCAAAAAATCTGAAATATGTATAAAGTGTCATATATATTGTAATTAGTTAAAACTTTGATTGAAATTGTTCATGAGCCCCTAATTCTGTAGTTGACAACTAAGGCCCAAGGCCAGGTGTAGACTGTAATTATGGTAAGACAAGTACTGTATAGGCTGATTGTACAACTTTTCTTTCATCTCAACTTTAGAAATATCACTTCAGCTTAGAAATATCAACCACTGATTTTTGTTAGCAATGAAAAGAAGGGGCCAGAAAGTTTAGGCATAGAAATAAATTTATGTTCTTAATCACCCACCCATACCTGCTACCTGCAGAAAACCTACTGGCTTCTTTTTCTTTCCATTTCTTTCCCTTGCTGGAATTCCTTTGCAAAGGTGCCCTATAATGACAGCATACAATCAGAAAGCAGAAGTCACTCTCCTCTTCTAGTCCTCCTTTTACAGAGACCTTGCTTTTGACATCACAAAGTACTTACCCCAGATCCACAAACTTCCTCTTAATTTTTCCTCCTTGTACCATCAAGCTGGATGCCCTTGGTGATTTGGGACATTTGGCATCATCTAGGATATAGATATATATGAGAAAGACCAACTATTATTTTGTATTATTTAGTTTTAAAAATTTTTATTAGTACATGTTTGCAGTCCATAAGGTTTACATTCATCATGCAGGGTTGGTACATGTCCGTGACACATCTTAATTCTTTTTACTTCCCCTTCCCCACCCTTCCATGTCTTGGTCCCCTTTTATTTAAGTCATGAATCTAAGGTCAGTGCATCCAAGGGGTTTGCCTAAATTCTTAAATGTAGAGGAAAATAATGGGTGCCCCTTTAAGAAGACATAGCTGTGTTGGGAAAGTTACTTATGCAGAGAGGTGCTGTGGAACAGAGGCCCAATACCACAGAGAGTGTTAGCTTTAAAAACATTGGAATGACTGAGATTCACAAGAATAAATATTATCAGGTCATCCTCTGCTTTAAAGCAGGGACCAAGACAACTTTCTTTATGTCCCTTCTCTGGCCCCAAGTCTTGACTTTGAATGCTTACGCTCTGTTCTCCAAACTTTTCCTACTTTTGGGTTTTTAATGCCTTCTGAAGGAATCCAGCCCACTTCAGCCTTAACTCCTGAGAGTCTGGGAGATTTAGGGAGAAAATGAGCTAGGTTTTCCCTTTTGGCCTGTCTCTTGCTAATACTACAACGCCTATGGCCAATCCTGGGACAAGGGAGGACAGAGGAAACGGGGGAAAACTTAAACGGGAGCTCAGCTATAAAACATTTATATTTTTACATGGTCCTTCTTAATAGCTGGGTTAGAGGACAACTTGGCTAGCCTCCCATGATGCAGAAGATGCCAAAATCTCCTCGGTGCTTGGAACTGCTTCTTTGAGTAATGCTGGCACTCTAAAGGTAGCAGCTGCTGGGGGATGGGGACATGCAAAAAAATGCCAAAACCAATCTGAAGAGAGATTTTATAAATAGACTTCAATGTCATATAAGAGAACCAGATCCCACTGGTGGCACTTATTCTGCCTTTGATGAGGTAGATAATTCCTAAGTCTCTGACTGAAACTGTTCAGCAAAGCAGGGTGTTGGTGTCATGTTTCAACACATCCAATTACCCAAAATGATTAACAGGTGGTATTTTAAACTTGAGGGGTTTTGTGTTTGAAACAATTCCTTTCTAATTGTTGATATTTATCTGTCTTTATCTTTTTAAACTTCTAGGAACTCTGGCACGGAATACAGAAAGAATAGTCCCCCTAAGATAATATTCATTTAACACTGCATGCTAATTTTGCTTAAGATTGTTTATTTGAGGAGAAATTTCTCAACAGACCAACACATATCCTTTAAAAAAAAAGTGCGTACCTAGTTCTTATTTGGGAGCCTGGCTTTAAATCTCTGAAGCTATGCAGGTCACTGATAAATACTCCAAGGACTTTTAGCAATGAGCTTTTCATATTTTTAATGATACTCAGATTATAATGATCAATTTCTTGAAATGTATGAATAATGAAATTCAAGAGTCAGAAATATATCTGTGTCAAAATCCACTTTTAACCTCAAATATTTATTATGGATATTTGTATCATTACTCTTTGAGTAACCAAATTGAATAGCCATAGATGTGACACATACACATAAAAAAATTCATAGACAAGGCACAAATGCTTCTATGGTGATTTTGCTAATGGACATTTTTCTTTTAAACAAAGACAGGATTTCTATTTTCTTACAGAAACTGAAGAGAAGAAAATGATGAATTCTTCCAGATCAATCTTAAGGCAAACTCTTAATGGCCAGGACTGTTCAAAGTTAAAAGTAGACTCCCTAATTATTTTCAGAATGAGCAGGAGCTGGGAGCTGTTACAATGAGTGCAGCGAAGACCAGCTGAGACAGCACACATGGAGATGCTCTGTAACCTATTGGTAGTGTAGTATGTGGACAGCTGGGGACCAAGAGCCGTTCTGCCCATCACAGAGCCTGCTGCTGGACAGCGTCACATCAGTGTCTCACACATTTTTCAAAGTGTGTTCCGAGGAGCACTGAAATGAATGTTTCCATAGAGCCAAAGAAGTAAAATTAAGGAATACACATAATATTCTTTCCCATTTTAAACCAATAAAATAAATCTTTAATGCACATTAGAACTTCTAGTCTTTTTTTTTTTTTGGTGCTGGGGATCAAACTCAGATCCTTCCACTTGCACGGCAGGGGGAGAAACCACTGAGCCAAATCCCCGGCCCAGAACTTCTAGTCTTCATAAACACCAATGTTGGATTAGTATGATTTCAGGAAAAAAGAAAGAAATATCACATTTTGTTGATTTAGCTTTAGCTTTATAAAAGTTTTCCATAATGCTTTTTCCCCCTTCCTTTTGAGGTGCTGGGGAATCAAACCATTAGGCTTTCAAAAAGGCTCTTCAATTGAGTGTGTCAGCTTTAGGCTTTGGCAACTTGGCTTTTATTTTTGAAGGTAATAAGTGACCTCCTGATAGTCAAACCTAAGATTTTTTCTTGGCCTGCATTCTCCTTAGTCTCACTGAATCAAAACATGTTACTGCCCTTTTAGATGGGGACTTCCAAACTCAAGCTCTTTCCTGGCTCCTCTCCCGAGCTGGTGACTTCCTCTGCTTATAAAATGAATTACTAGTGTTTTCCCCATGTTTCCAGTTTGCTGTTTTCTGTCAATAACAAACTGCGTGCTGTGAGGCTCAAAGCCCTGTGCTTGATTTTGTCTCCCTTTCTCCTAATGCTCCAAGAGTTCTTGTATTACTCTCTCCCATTGCTCATGGCTCCTCTTTACAGCTTATCACCCCGCAGGATCCCTGCTCAGCTTCCCCATACCTACAGTCTAGTCTTTTTTATTCCTCTGTTCAAAAGAATCTTGTGGCTTCCTACGCAGTACTAAGTAAAGTGGTACGTATTTCATTCTAGAGCTGTAGGCGGGACCTACTTGTTTACTTTGATGTGCAACCTCTCTACTCTGCAGTAAGGATCTGCTTCAGTCAGCTGTGATTCAGTTAGGCTGACCTGAGTGCATATACTTATTTTTGGAAGTGAAGTTAGAGGGCTTGCAACAAGTATATTACTATAAAACTGCTACTGTAATCCAGATTTTAGGTTAATAAAAGTTTTTGAAGTCATTAATTCTTTTGAAAGTAGGCCAATATCATAGTCAAGCTATTCACTAACCTGACAAGCACTTTTGATAAATTAACAGGCCTGCCATACATTATCTTGCTTCCACTGGCATTCTGTACTCCCTAAGTGCCTCACTGTAGCAGGTGACAAGCTTAGGGAAGAAAGCCAACGAGAAAATATCAGGAACAACACTCTGAGGCTGACCATGAGTTAGGGAACAATGTGAGCCCCACAGCCAATGGTATTTTTATGTTTACAAGGTATGAGGGGAAAGATTATAATTCCTGATCTGGTAGAGAAAAATTAGTATGGAGTTTTAAAAAAATGTAGAGATGCATTCGTACCTGCAATGTATGAATGTGTTGTCCTACATTACTGCTAGCACTAGAAGATAGAATTCTTCAAATTTCAGTCTGAAGATTTTGACAATCTGCCAAAATTGGCAATTGGCTAATTTAAATGTCACATCTTTCATTATTAGTAAGATTGATCATCTTTATATAGCTTTTAAATAACGTGAATTTTCTCTTTAAGGAATGGACAGTTTATTTCCTTAGCCTATTTTTCATTTTTTAAAAAAGAATAAATTGTTTGGAGCTACTTACATATTAAAGTCTAGCTATTAATCTTGTGCAAAGTCCTTTTTATGTTTATTGACTACTGAAATTGAGAGTATTTTTAAAATAGGTATAAAGAATAAACAAAAAACAATAAAATAAATGCTCATTTCCAACCCTACCCTGCACTAGGGTTTACAAGAACCAGGCCTTCAGTAACCCTCCCCGCCTCCCAGGTGCCCCTCTCCAGGTAACTCACTTTGTCACTCCCACTTGTGACCTCAAACTTTCATCTGTGTCTCTAACCTATCAGTTTTTACTTCATAGAAATAGGATTATATGCATTCTTTTGTAATTCATTTTATCCTGTTAATGTTTTGTCCCATTATATATATAAATAAGATAATATTTCAATGTATTTTATTACTTTCTTCATGTTTCCTGGTGCACATCCACTGTATGAATCTACTATAATGTATTTATTCATTCTTCTGATTTTACTATTATATAAGGTTGCTGTGAGTATTCTTCTACATTATTTTTACTAGACATGTGCAGGTTTCTCTTGGATACATACATCTATACAGACTTACTGTCATTTAAATTTGTTTAGATTACACTATCACAGAAGGATGTCCATAAATATTATGTGTAAAACAAAGCGACAGAGGAATATGATTAGAATTCCATTTTTGTAATTAAAAAAAACAAGGAACAAGTGTACAAAAACAAAACACATATACACCAGAAAGTATTGAGGGTGCATGTGTAGATTTAGTTCAGATGGAAAAGGCGATATAACCAAATGTAGTTGGTTACTTTAAAAGGAACACATCAGGTATAAAAGGAAGAGAATGAACCTATGCTTTGTAATTCTTTGTATTAACTTGATGAAAGCAGAATTTATTGCTTCTGGAAACTTAAAAATACAATTCAAAAGACAAAAATCTATCAACACTGCTATAAAATTCTGGTATAATTCTAGGAGCCTATGTTAAAATTGAATTGACTAACTTTCCTGCATTACTTTATTATAGCTGTTCTATTACACTCTAAATAATCATTGTGAAAATTCACTCTAAATAAAAATCACTTAATTGATAATGACCTTCATAATTTTGAGCTTCATATTATTTTTTCCAGATGGCAATGTTCTTGTTTATCGAAACTCTGAGCTGCTATTCTATAAAATCTTTAGAAGGTCATCAAAATAATTTCCTTCAATAGTAAATATGTGGAATGCTAAAGAGATAAAAGCAGCAGACTGACAGGAAAACAAAGCAAACTACATGGGAGTAAGACTTTTGCTCATCTTATAAGGAAAAAGGAAAGCAATGGACTTATGATGAGAAAAAGCTATTTTTTAAATTGTACAAATTGAGCTGTTAGTAAAGTTAAACAGTGGAAAAGTAGAACAACAAAAAATTAGCAATACCTTGTTCTTGTAGTGTTTTCTCGGTGACGGCCAGATGGATGCAAGGAGAGTCTTCTGCATCATGGTCACAGTTTGAAGGTGAGGGAAGTGAAGTGCCTCCCCAGACAGAGGAGAAAAGCTCCCCCTCTGGGTGCGGCGGTCCTTGACACTCAGCTATGTGGTCAGTTGAGAAGGATGTGTGGCTAGCCGCTGGGGTGAGGGGTAGAACACCAGAATCTGATTCTGGAGAAGTTCTCAGACCCTTGGGTGGGAATGATTTGGTAACATGCATGTGGTTACAGAGACTGTCTGAAGGCTGTTGGTATAAGAGATTATCAAGGAGGTTATGCCAGTTCTATGCAATACTTGGTCTGAAATAAAAACGACCTTTTTAAAAGTGAATCCCCGTGAAAGAGAATTTTTTGTTTGTTGCTTTACCAACCAGAATGCATAGTTCATAACAATTTCCTATATTAACATTATAGATAACACAGATAACCAAGACATACAGCAACAATTACTTGTACATTCATTATTTTCCATTAGATAAAAACCAATAGCTGAATATCAAAAGCACCATGGTAAAATATGACAATATGGAAAATGCTCTTGGCTCGTGTGCTGAATGAGTAGAAAAAAGAATTTGAATTATAACAATATATCAAGTGGCATAAGAATTCAGGAGACAAAGACATGAATTACTCTAGTTGTTTCCAACTAGGGCATAGACTCTGGTTGTAAAATAAGCATTATTTTCAATAAGCTATAGGAAAAATAATGCAGCCCAAAACAAGTCTGAACATGGTCAAGGGTTCTCACCTTTCGCTCTAGACTGTCCTCTCCATCTGTGGAACTGACACTATCATAGAGTCTTGTCCTAGTGGGCCTCTGGCGCCTGTTCTTCACTGAGAGCTGGGCACGAGTTTTCAATGCTTTTGAATCTAGGCGCTCTGTCTCTGGAATGGCCTCATTCAAGTCTAAGATAGGAACATAAACATTAATAATCAAAATAATCAATGAGAGACACTTTGGAGAGGACTGATAAAAGGACCAAGAACATAGGTAACAAATCTCAAGGTTACCACTAACACCAGGAAACAGATCACAACCATTATACTCTGATATACTTCAGGTAACAAAGAAATCAGTGGAATTTAGAGCAATGTACAAGGTCTAATGGAAGAAACTAACATTAAAGGTGACCAATGCAACAACAAAAATCTAACATCCAAAGAGCATAAAATCTTTCTATGAAATAATTATGAAAAGTATTGATAAAGCAGTGGTACACAATAGGGTAAAACTTTGGCCCCCTCCGTGTTTTATTTTCCCATAAAATGTTCTGTTCCAGAAATATAACCATTTGTTTCTGCCCAATGTATCAAAATGTTCTGTTAACTCAGGCCTCGTGCTTCTGTGAGCATGCTTACCCAGGATGTGGGCCCACCCCTCTATCCCATAGATATCTGTATAAATAAAGTTGCTTCCGTAAGTGCTTTATACTTAGCATTTAGAATTCAGAGTGGGTAAAGTCCTCTGAGCCAGCCAGCTAATAAAGATTTTTCTCTCTCCATCTCTTCCAGTAACTTTTGGATTCTCGAGTCTTCAAATTCCTGAGTTGTGGCACTTGAGCTGTAACACTTGGCTATAACAGTGTAGTGAGTTTCACTTTGCTACAACAGTATGATTTGCTTATATGTATGTATATTGGGATGTGTGATGACCACAGCTATGAGGGAAGATGTACCAACGTGGGGAGATCTTGGACCATTTGAAAGAGGATGGATGAAAAAAGCTTAACTAGAAATACACCTATGTATTTGTTGGAGAAAAGTATGCTCTGCTTGCATTTTTTCCCCATATAATCACACCTTAGAAACAAAGCAGTTTAAGGGCTGAGAATGTGGATCAGTGGTGTAGTGCTTGCCCAACATGCACAAGGTCTTCTGTGCAAACCTCTGCACTGAAAAAAAAAATTTTGGTTATCTTTTCACAGTGGCAGTCATTAAATGAAGCCATGTTTAAAAAATTAATAATTAAGTATCTGAGTTTAAGTTATTAAAAATAAGCAAATGATGAAGTTTCAGAAAATTAGTATGTACTGATATTAATTGAACAAAACAATTTCTTACACCATCATTAGTTCAGGCAATTTCTCTTTGTAGCATTATTCTAAATATGTGTATATGTATTCTAAATATGTTATAAAACAAAACATGAAAGCATCTCAAGTTATGTCTCTTTTATTTATGGAACCAAGCATTTGTCCAAAGGTGCTAAGAAATAAAATTAAATATATATTTTGCCCAGGAGATATAGCCACTGAATGACAATATTTACAGAAAGTTTTGACTTTTCATTTCTATATTTTAATGAATAATGAATATTCAGAAAAGTCAGACCACTCAAGTAAATATAAAAAACAACTAGATATTTTCTAGTCTCTTTAGTTTTTATATGCCAATGGAGGAAAAATAATCTCCTTGATCACTTTAATTTCCTAATAGAATCTATATTTGCAGCTGCCCATTAAGAGTTCATTAGTTGTGATAATTGGGAGAAAGTCAACCCTATAAGCTCTGTTTACATATACAATGTGAAATGCCACATAGATGAAAGGAATAACATGATTAGAAATGCTGCAGTACATGCACATTTTGCATCTTTTCTGTCTCGTGTCTGGACATGCTCTACAACACAAAGCACTGCTATGTACTCCACCTCATTTGTCCTTCATCACAAACCCTGAGAAACACAGCAAGTATGTTTTTATTCCTCTCCCAAAGCTCAGAAATCTCAAGCTACTTGCCCTCATTTATACAGATAGCTGATGAACTGTTACAGTTATTCTAGTGTTTTGAGTCCCAGGCTACCATTGCGCACTCCAACTCGGCTAGTGTTGAAAAAGTTACTATTATAAGATTTTAATGCCATTACAATTCAGTGTTTTAGGTTATAAAATTATACATTTTTTGACTAGTCTAAAAATTCAGATCTCCAGCGGGTTGCATATGAATATTATCATTAATCCCTTGTATATTTATTGGAGAACATGAAAAAAGGATGACATTTTAAAAACTATAGAACAAATTGCTTTTCAGATGATTTCATGTCTGGTTGGCTTAATAACAACCTTGGTTACTCAGTTCCAAAAAGACCCACAGAAGATGCTCTTCCTAATTTTGTCAGTGTGGTTCCTTTTTCAGTAAAATCCTGGCCCTTGAGGACCCAGCAAAGCAGCCCATATCCAGGACTGCAACAGCTACTCCATTACTGAGAACTGAATAAATAAAGGGGAGAAATGAGAATGACTTTATTAGTAGGGCTTAAGGGTACAGAGAGTTTGCTCTGACTCCTGGTTCCATTACTATTAGTCATTTGCCTAATGTTGCTGTCAGACAATCCCAAATGGCAATATGATACATGTGCTCTAACATCAGCTGACTGGTCGCAAACTGCTTGAGTGCACACCTGAAATTATGTCTATTAAAGATGTAGTTAGATGGGTTCTGAAAAGTAGTGCTTCAAACCATTACCCAAGTGGCCAACAACACGTTACATGCAATTAACAATTTTTGAGGGTCTCAAAGCAAATATAAGAGCCTTTATAGCAGTGATTATGGACTACAAACCAGTAATTTATATTCCATCCTGGAAAAAAAATCTGTTTTTAAAAAGAACCAAAAGGAATGGTGCTGAGAAATTTTCACTTCAATAGCACTTATGCTCAGAAGAAGCTGGAAGGAATGCTGTTCTTAAGAAGCACCTATCAAAGACACGGCAAGGGGGTCCAACATAGTTGATTGTATAGGAGGGGAAGACTCACCGAAAACACAGGCACTCTGAAAACAGGGAGAGGTACTCACACCCTGAGCCCAAAAACTAATCTGAAGGACAGTACCAAGCCAAGATCAAGCCAAGTATCTGGATTGTTGAAAAGGGGAAATGGGGTCTCCAGGGAAGCAGCCATCCTGAGAGTATCCTAAATAGCCTGAGGGACCAAACTAGTGCTCAGAGGGTAGATTTCTGGGACAGGCTCTGTGCACATGGACAGCACCTCAAACACTGGAGAATGCTGCACCCTCTTTGTCACCCAAAGCAGGTGAGGCAAGTGTCTGACCAACTCTAGATAAAGAGAGAATAAATACGGCAACGTCACAGGGACCCCACCCATCACATCCCTGGAGACAGAGGGACGGGAGTGTGACTGTCAGCTGGTCTGGGGTGAGCTCTTCTTTGTCATTTCCACAAAGACTGGAAAGATCAGAGTTAGCAGGAAATCCTGAACAGTAACCACTGTCGTGTGGGGTAGGGGGAGGGATGGGTAAGCCTTAAACCAAGCTTGGGAACCCCATTAGATTCTGCTGGCTGGAAACGGGGACTTTTGAGACAGGGTCAGTTTGGGATTTGAGCACAAAGGAAAAGATGGGACAGGCTGGGGCAGAGATATGGTTATACACTAGGTAGAAAAGATCTGAAGCAAGAACAGGGAACTTTGCCCAACATGCCAAGCAGGAGTCACAGGACACTGGCAGGAGGTAAAGGACATCTTGGTGCCAGAAAAATTATTTCATATCCTCCTCTCAAATTAATTGAGGTGGTTGATTGATTGCAGGACAGAAACAAAAGACTGGATGCCTAAAGCACAGCCTGAATTAAGGAGACCAGCTCAAAGAAACTTACAGCCCTCACCACAGGCTGGGAAACAGCCCACCAACAGAAGGGAAATTGTTGACTCTGCCTGCAAACAGACTGCGACTAAAGCAGGAAGGGAACTATGGGCACTGGGGCTCTATGGCATAGTCATGTGGGAATCTCATGTACCTTTGCTTGTTGGAGTCTCTGAGCTGGGTTTCTGCTGAATTTTTTTCCCAGCCCTTTTTGTTACAGTTCTGTCTTTCTCATATTTTGCTTTGAGATACAATTGTTATTTGCTTTCTTTCTCCCTCTTTCTTCACCCTATTTTTTCTTCAATTCTAGTTTCTGTATCAATGCTATTATTTTTAACTTGTTTCTCCCACTTTTTAAATCCTTTCTCAATTTTTCCCCTATATTTTGCTCTGCCTCAGTCATTCCTATCTTCTCTCACATTACCTTCTGTCCTTCTATTCTATTCTTTTTGTTCTCTTACCTACCCTGTCTTCCTGTGCCTCACCTCCACCACATCAACAGGTTCTGACAACCTCACAGCTTTCCTCAAACCCAAATTATGCTTCACCCTCCCACGCCCCACCTCACCCCACAAATATCTTCTTATAACTTTAAAAGTCCTGGAAAACTCTGACTTGCTATCTAATTTTTCTTACCTTATTATTTCTCCTATCTACCTTTCCTCCTCCTGACTTACATCCCTCTTTCATCCACCCCCTCCAACTCTTTCCTTTCCTCTTCCTTCCACATCACAAACTGCTAATAAAATAGAGTACAGGCTGTAAAAGGTACTGATAAAGGCAGAGAATAGAAATGCAAGGTTTAACATATGTAAGTGATGTATGGATTGATCTGTTGGTGCTGTGATAAGCAGAGACAATTCTCTCCTCACAAAACAGTCACAGGGTCCAAAATATTTAAATTGAATAGCTGAAGGGTGACCATTTTCTCTGGAAAAATAAGTCCAGCAACACATCCCTGGAAGGCAGAATCTAACTGAAAAGATCTTCATAGCAACTATAATCTCTCCTCACTCAACATGACCTCAACCCCAGCACAAAACACACACACACACACACACACACACACACACACACACACACACACACACACAGAGGAACATGGGAAAAAGGCAGCAAAAGGCCACCAAGGTCTCCTAAATATCACAAGGCCAATCTGGGGGGCACAAATGGAAAGGAACACCAACAGCAGGTAGTGGAGTTTTACAAATTGATTAAAGAGGTAAAGAAACTTGGCAAGTTCAGAGAACACACATGATCCCAAAGTTCATGGAACTACACACAAACTGACGAATGTAGATATGGGA